AATTATACCAATCAAACACACTTGAAATCATTTTCCCTACAAAACATTTTCTAGACAAATCTTTTCCCTATAAAACATTTTCTTTCTACCCATTTTCTACTCTTGCAATCAAACGCACTCTAAATGAAACTCAAAATTGGAAGAAAATAAGTTAATCTCATTCAAGCGAAAGACATTGGCCATTCAAGCAACTACATAATGGATAGTTATGTCTCTCATCAATAATAATCATGAAATAGATTAATAAACAACTCATACTAAGAATGATAGTCTGCGTTGTCCATATTTAGCTCAGCAGATAAAAAAAAAAATTGTTTTCTTCATCAATTTACTTACATCTGCAGTTCTTGTTAAATGTACAGGCTCTATCTAGCAACACCGCAACTGGTGCCATGACATATACACAACTCTTGAAGTGAGTGGCATTAGAATGAGATGTAAACGTTAGCCTATTTACAGTCGGATCTTAGGCCCTGTTTGCTACCCAAAGACAGACAAACGAATTCTCTGGAAAATAAATTCATTTTTGTGTTTTGTGACGATTAGTAGAAGTTTGATATGTAGATCAAAATGATGTTATTGTGAAGGATATAGCAGCACTGGAACTTCCAATTATAACGTATTAATGAACCAAGCATGAAGACAATGATATCATTGATGTAGTTCTTTGCAAATCGTGTTTGCAGTAACTAATGTCATCCGCACAATGCTAACTCAATTAACTGACTCAGCATAAATATAGTAACAAGAAAGAATCTAATTATCAGCTAATCATATTTCTTCATTACGATAACTTTCTACATATTAGTTTACTATGAGCTAATAATATATTTAGACAATAAATAACCCGACTGTAGAGAATTTAAAAATCATATATATATTGCCTTTATATAATGGCACATTTGGTGGACATCCCTTTCATTGTACTTTCCATTTGCAGTGGTGACTTTTTTCCTGCATCAACATTGTGGATACACACAAATAGCTGCATTCACTGGTGTAACAGAAGACTGCGTGAAGCATCGAGCCAGCGAGTGTAGCAGCCACGGAGGTTAGGCCAATCGGAAGATGGACATCGCGTGAAATGATGGAGCCACAATGACAGCACTCTTTCTTGCTCGTCTTCTTGTTCTAATGTCTCGATTATTTCTTCCAGTATCTTTTCAAGCTCGGCTCTTTCGCCGATGCTGAGGACAGGTGCATCAGTGCCATTGCTTGCACGGCATAGCAACGGCAGCCATGAAACCAGCAGTTTCATCTTTGTTTGTCTTTGTTGCTCTGACATGTTTTTGTCATCTATAACTTTGCCCACGTCTTTCGATTGCTTGATCAAGAATGCTACAAATATAGATAATGAATCAAGATAAACTTTGTTTGATACACAAAATTCAAGAATACGGTAATGGAACGATCAATATACCAAAGGTGAAATAATCTTCGTCTAAGGGTTTATCAAACTACGATAAGAACATGCTTGATACACAAAATTCAAGAATACGACAAACAAGAAATTGCACCACGCCACGGAGTATTGAAGATGGTAACAAGTCATTATCGTCGAAATCAGGATCTGCAGCTATTTCTTTCGAGATTTAGCAATTTTCTTGTCCTCATTTTTTTTTTACCAAATCTAAATAATTCTTCCTAGTTCCTAATAATATGCCTATCTATATCCCAATTGACGCTACATATAATTAACAAGGAAATAGCAAAAAGGGTGATTATATTTGCACAATAATTTTTTATATCTGCATCATATTTTGATTATATTTGCTCACTTTTGCTTGTATGTCCTCGACTTTTTTCACATTGTATTGTATTCTTAACCTTCAATTAATTAACATATTTTATCTTTAATCGTGATTTTTATTCAAATANAATTAACATATTTTATCTTTAATCATGATTTTTATTCAAATATTCTGCTAACATGCATTAAAAAGGACAAATATTTTGTTTAATTTTAGTATTAGTAATTTATTTCGATTATTTAAAAATAAAAATACCAGAGATAACTATGTAGTTTTGGCTCGAACATTTTGGACAAAAATCCTATATATGGACAAAATGTGAAAATTAATAAAGGGTTGATGAAATAAAAAATTTAAAAAGTTGAGATCGTAAGTGTAAAAACAAGAAAAACTTAGGAACATTCATTGCAATTAAAATTAAAATGTGGTGTAGGTAACAAGTGTGGCACGAATATATTTAGCGTAGCAGAAATACTAATGCGCCATGTAAGAAGTTACGTACCCGAGACCTTAACTAAGGAGCCTTGAAGCCGTAGCTCAGCCGACAAAGCGAGCGATGCCAAGTTAGAAGCCGAAGCCCATTTAAAAACTGCTTCTTCTGAACAGCCACAAGCTGCCATCTTCTGAGCCAGCCACAAAACTTCAGCTGCCAGCTTCTCAGCCGAGCTTTCAAACCCGCTTACCCCTTCCCTCGACTTCCCATATCGCCAAACCACGTTACCATAATATTTAACAGCCTTTAGAAAACGACTAAACCTATTTTTATAATAATATATATCAATTTCCTCAGCCGCCTCATCCGTCACATCACCACTATTCCCGCCGCCACGGCTCCGCCCTTTAACTAACACGGCAGCTTCCAGCTGGCTCAAGGTACGCGAAAAGGCAGCTGAGAGCGCGGCGCAGTTGACTTCCCTTAGGGTTTCGTTACCCTCTAACAAATTCTCGTCAATTACCTTCTCTGCTAACGATCTAACCAACTCATATTTTCTTGAACTCACCGGAATATCATTAACTATTGACAACAACTGCATGAGCGCCCTCGCAACACCCGAGTCACCGACGCCCCCACCGCTGGCGGAGGCGGCGCCGCCGCCGCCACCACCCGAGAGAGTCGACGCATAGTTGTCAGCCCTTTTAGTCTTGAAAGAATAGTTGTAGGATTCTGCAGAAGAATTCAAACCGGGAAACAAAGAAGGCAAAAGACGAAGAAAGAATAGAAAAGCCGAGAGAAGAAAACAACGTAGAAGTTCAAGAAGTCTATATTTTTCTGCTAAGAATACAAGGGGTTTGTCGGCATAGAAAAACAGCGAAGTAAGTAAATTTCTCAGAAGTAGAGGAGCCATGGCGGCCGGTGAACTCTCCATTATAGCCCCTTTCTGTTTGTTTCTCTCTTTAATTTTGATTTATGATTATTTTATGACAAGAAATGGCTATTTAAGGGGTGAATATTATAAGATTCAACGCATGTACGAGGGAAGGAGTTTGTAGGTAAAATAATTTGGACCGTTGAATTGCTGTTTGCCTGGAAATTAGTGGTAGACAGTTGTTCCATGAGTTTTCCATGACGTTAGTTTTGTAGGGACAATGAGCAGCGTATTTATTTTCAAGAAATTTGGCGTAGACTTTTTTTTTTTTTAATTTTTTTTGTAAGTATATAAAAACAAGTGGCGATTAAATAAATATAATATTTACGGATAAAACTCCTACCAATCAAAGGTTACCCCTTGGAAATGAAAGAAACCGTGGCCTATGTCTTTGATTTCGAACGTAAAGACAATCCAATTGAAAATTGAACAACAAGACTATCAATGATTGTTTTTGTTTACACGTAAAATGAATTTTCTTTTCTTTCATCTAAACTACTTATTTTCTCCAGTAATATATTTTACAACCATGCTATAAGTACAATTTTTTTGACATCAAGTTTGACAATGTGTCACATGCTGAAGATTGAGTGGCCAGTTTTTAAACACCACACACTTTTCCGTCCATTTGAATTTGAATTAACATGGATTGTCAAATTCTTTGTCAACCATGGATTGTACACAAAGCATTATTCTATATATTAATTATAGTATGTAAAGAAAGGAGTAGCCCTTTATTTATCCAATCAAATAAGAAAAGATTAAACGCAAATAGAATACTACTTGAACGAGTGAAAGCGTGGTGGAATATGATTTTTAAATTCATACGATACGACATTTCATTTACACAAACTTTTTGCAAAATTTGCAATTTTTAGTGAAGTAGAAGAACTTGCCGATTATCAAAGCAAGTTGGGAGCGCATCATTACTACAAGTTGAGTGAGAGCTCTTACATATACACTTTGATCCACATTCTTACAAAAATTCATTTTTTCAAAACTCATTTTTANAGCCATGGCGGCCGGTGAACTCTCCATTATAGCCCCTTTCTGTTTGTTTCTCTCTTTAATTTTGATTTATGATTATTTTATGACAAGAAATGGCTATTTAAGGGGTGAATATTATAAGATTCAACGCATGTACGAGGGAAGGAGTTTGTAGGTAAAATAATTTGGACCGTTGAATTGCTGTTTGCCTGGAAATTAGTGGTAGACAGTTGTTCCATGAGTTTTCCATGACGTTAGTTTTGTAGGGACAATGAGCAGCGTATTTATTTTCAAGAAATTTGGCGTAGACTTTTTTTTTTTTTAATTTTTTTTGTAAGTATATAAAAACAAGTGGCGATTAAATAAATATAATATTTACGGATAAAACTCCTACCAATCAAAGGTTACCCCTTGGAAATGAAAGAAACCGTGGCCTATGTCTTTGATTTCGAACGTAAAGACAAATCAATTGAAAATTGAACAACAAGACTATCAATGATTGTTTTTGTTTACACGTAAAATGAATTTTCTTTTCTTTCATCTAAACTACTTATTTTCTCCAGTAATATATTTTACAACCATGCTATAAGTACAATTTTTTTGACATCAAGTTTGACAATGTGTCACATGCTGAAGATTGAGTGGCCAGTTTTTAAACACCACACACTTTTCCGTCCATTTGAATTTGAATTAACATGGATTGTCAAATTCTTTGTCAACCATGGATTGTACACAAAGCATTATTCTATATATTAATTATAGTATGTAAAGAAAGGAGTAGCCCTTTATTTATCCAATCAAATAAGAAAAGATTAAACGCAAATAGAATACTACTTGAACGAGTGAAAGCGTGGTGGAATATGATTTTTAAATTCATACGATACGACATTTCATTTACACAAACTTTTTGCAAAATTTGCAATTTTTAGTGAAGTAGAAGAACTTGCCGATTATCAAAGCAAGTTGGGAGCGCATCATTACTACAAGTTGAGTGAGAGCTCTTACATATACACTTTGATCCACATTCTTACAAAAATTCATTTTTTCAAAACTCATTTTTATCCATACATTCTTCAATAAAATAATATTTTCTTATTTTTTAGTCATACATTTTTCATCAAATCACTATTTAAGAAGCATTATTCACTCAATAATCTGCATTAAACGGGGTTAAAATCTCAATTCCAATCTCCCATACATCCCTTATTTTGAAAAAAAAAAAATTTATTATTTTTCTCAGTGACATCTCAATCAATTGCGCAAGTAACACATGAGTGACTTTTTGGCCATTCGTGACTGATGTACGAAAATACAATATCTCTGGAAAGTTAGTTGATGGATGAATTGAATGGATGCTACTGTATACCAAATTATACGGCGGCCAATTACTCCGGCTTGACAAAAGTCCAGGTTCCATTAACACAAAGTTGAATTAATAATTGAGGTCTCATTCAATGAAATCCGACAATAATTTCACCAACGAAAAAAAAATGATATAGAAAAAGAATCATTAATATCAACAAATGTTTATAAAATAATTTGTTCCATATCTATGCCGAAAGTTGAATGTAGTTAGCTGATATTCAAGAACCGGTACTTGGGTTGTTGAGGTTGAGATGAGTGAGAAACAGACTTGCCTTGAAGAAAAGATTTTAAAAGTTTCGAGATTTCCTTTGGCTTTTCAATGTTAACAGCATGTCCTGCAATTTTTTAGGTCACACAACTAATATTACTCTTCACAAGTAACAAATGAAAATAACACATGACGTGCACGTTCGGTATATACACAAGATTTTAAATTTTTGTCTATTTTGTGTCATGTATAATAATATACCAAACGTACCAACTAAGACATTAACGTTATGAATACGCATGGAAGTTGTTAGTCTTACATTTGGAGTCTCTGTCCCAATTCAACTGGAAATACCTATTCCCGTACTCCCCAGATGATCAACGTAGACTATTTCGAGAAACGAAAATTGTTGAACAATATGTATTTCTTTTAGATTAGTTTAACACATTCTTCAGCTAAATTTAGTTTTTAATGTGAGTCTCATTACAATGAAGAACCATAGCAGCAACTTGTTTTATCTTGGGAATATTAGAAATATATCTTTTGAGTGTTGCTTGGATTAGTTCCTTCTTCTGTTCTCTGTGATCTGGACAGAAAACCTGCCCAACCACAAAACACAAGTTTTTGAATTTACTTCCCCACCACCTAACCTGTTCTTTGGGAGAGCCGTACACTAGACTGGCCAAGATTTACTGATGCAAAATTGTCCTTAACTTGATTCAAATACAAGTCTACTTTCAAAAATCATTAGCACTGAAGATAGTTCATACCATGATATATTGTCCCTACTATTAATATGCACCACAATGGGTGTATATTCATCATCTCCCGATAAAACTTGAGTTACAAGATCATTGTGATCAACTGTTTTTCCAGATATTTGCATGTTATCAGCTAGATCTTTGATAGTAGCAAGATATTAGTCCATGGTCATAGAGCACTTCCTTGTCCTCTGCAATTCTCCAGTAAGGAATACAACTCTTGACTTGTTCAGTATATTATAGATTGAAAGGAATTTGTGGCACAATGATGCAATGACCCAATGGGCTGAAATTGTTGGCCCAGCTGGTATTTAAATTGAAGCCCAGCTCTTAAATCTGTTTGGTTTTCGGTGCAAAGGAAAAAACGTGTTTTGTGAAACTGAAGTTGTGTTTTCTACTTACCTTTTGAATGGACGGCCCGGATGTCACCAAATGCAATCTCCACAGCCGTTGGATGAAGGGCATTTCTGGAGACTCCTTAAAGTGGCGTCTCTAGGGTTTGAGGATAATTATCGCTTCTGGTTTCTGGACTCTTCGTCTCTCTCTACTGCACCGTTTTCCTTCGTATTTCCTTCCTTCACTGTAGAAATCAAATACTCTTATTTTGATTTCTGGTTACTCTCAATAATCTGTAAATCTTGAGTGATTTCGTTGTTTGAGGCTTTGTTCTTGAGTGAACTGTGTACTGTGAAGAGGGATCCCTTATTTTGTGTAATAAATCGGTCTAGTCTGAGTGTCCACTCCTTGTATCTTCATCTTGGCTGTGATTTACACTAGATCAGTGGTTGTTCTTCTGTAATCTGAACAAGTTTTACTGATTACTTGGCTTGGGTGCTTTGAACATAAAGATAAGTTTTATGCAGTTATTTTTCCAGATTTCTGAGTTCATGCTTTACAGATTCTTGAAGTTTATATTTCAGTTTTTGTTTCTTATTTCTTGCACATAACTTGGGGTTTATTTGTGAGCTAATCTGTCGTCTCCTCCCAACATAGATTTCTTTCACTACAATTCATAACGTGTTTGAGTTGGTGCACCCCATGACCCTCGTTGCTATTTTTGGAGTCATGGACGAGTACAACCAACCCATCAACAACTCGTGAGTAGAAATCCACTTGTCATTCTTTGGATTCTAAACCATCTCTACTGCTTGTTCCATACCAGTAGTGGTTTGTGTGGTTAGAAATTCTGGTGGACATTGCTTGCTCCCAAGTAACCTTCAAGATTATGTCCTTTGATTATAGGCATAATCATGTTTTTCCATAACAAAAAGTTATTCATATTTAGTTTCACCGATGAAGATTTGGGCAGAAACCTTTTCGGCGCCTCATCAACAAGAAAAAGCACGGGAAGCGGAGCCGTTCCTTTCAGAGGGGACTCTGACTCCTAGAGCTCCCAAGCTATTTATTAAGACTAAACTCCTTAGTCGTTGGCCGTGCACGAGACCACAGAGCAGGCAAAGTACGCATCCACAGGTGAGACAGATGTCCCATGCCACCTTTCGTGAACAGCTTATGAGACTTGGGTGGATGGTATAGTGCTTGATTCAGTTGGAGCAGACTGATTGGTGTTAGCCATAAGAGCTCTTGTACCAAGTTTGAAATTAGAATTGTTTTTGAGAACAAATTTCAGCTCATTGAGCTTCTCTTTTCATTCACTTTATATGCACCTTAATGCAATACAAACAATTACATACAAATCAAGGTGGACTCTGCCTTGCACCAGAATTCTGAAATACAGTTGGTTGGTTAGCTGTTGCCATCATGTTTGTTTTTCAAATGTCGAAGGAATTGGTGTGAGGCAAGGCAATGGCGAACAAATATAGGGTTTTCGTTTTAGGGGCTGGACCCAAACACAAAATTACATTTACTGGCATTTGTTTCGGTATTTTTTTGGCCAAAACAACTTTTTTTATAAAAAAAAAAAAAAAGGAATAATAATAAACTAATTAGAATCATAGTACATAAACACTGAAGCACAGCCAAAGTGGATATCTTGTTACTGTGTGGCTGAAAAACAGCTTATCCTATTTTGATTATTACAAATACATCCAAGCTATGAATTACGAAGGGAAAAAAATTATTGTGAAACTCTACACAGAAGAAATCAAGCAACAATAACTGGACAATAAGAGAGTATCATCTAAATATAAGAGACAAATTTCACAAACTTTCTGGATAAATTTGATTCTTGCAATGGATTCTCTGGGATATCGAACATCCGCAGCCTACCAAATTGTGTCTTCTGGTAACCACATAATATACAAAAGCTGCATGGAATGATAAGATTGTGCATTTTACCCCTTGAATTGGACAACAATGCAGGAGATATCATCCTTACTTTCTCTGTTCAGTGCTTCAACTGCTAATTGTTTAGCTGCCTTCTGGGGGTCTTTGATCTTCTTCACAATATCAATGGCCTCTTGATTCGACATTACCTGGATCATCCACAAGCAAGAGGAACCCGAGAGGGGGTTGGTTATGAATCCACAAGGACAAGATGGAACAAGTAAAGGTGGGAGCAACTAGCAAGTACGAACCTTCCACAAGCCGTCGCTAGCAAGGATAAGATGCTCGGTATCACCATCAATTTGAGCGTTTGTAATGTCAGGGTCAGATCGCAGATGAGGTTTCAAGTTTTTGTCTCCAAAAGCACGAGAAACAGCCAACTGGCCATTCACTCTTGCAACATCTCCTGGTACACAAAGCATCAGAACAGGGTTTTATGATATGAATACCTTAAGCAGTACAAAATATTATGATTCTACATGAAGCAAAATATGTTCCTTGTCAACAGGAGGAGTAAATCGATGAATTAATCTCTTCCAAAAGTTTATGAAGAACGAGAATGAAATCAAATAATAAACATAACAGCACAAGAGTGAGTCTTCTCCAGTAAATGAATTCAGTGTGCATATTAATCAGTTGCAGGAGCAAATCTTGAAAAGTGAATAATTTGTAACTAAAGTACAAGAATTAAAAAAACTGTATTAAATTATTGACTAAAAAACTGAAGTTTTCTTTTTCATTCAAAACATCAAGTTGTTTAGTAGAAGAATGGACGGGCAAAGTGATCATGCATATCCTAATTTAGCAAACAAATAATCCACATTTTCACCACCTAAGCATGCTGCCTTCCGAGTTAGTTTACAGCATGTAACAGATGGAGAACACCCAAAATATATATTTCAAACGTTGTTAATCGCGTATTAATAGGTTCACTGCAACGTGTGCACTCAAATTCACTTTGGTGTGATGATGTCGCTCAGTAACCCCTCTCGACATTGATAATTCCAGATAATTTGTATATTGAATGATGTTATAACCTTCCAACTCGTGAGTACATGTTTGGTGTACAATATTGAAGAGGAGTGGATAAGATAATGATACAAGATTTTAACTTTTTCCTTCCTTTATATTGACAAGTACTATCCAATCCTCAATATCAAGCATGCCATATATTAGTTCTCACTATCCCTGTCCTGGTGAGGTTTATGAAATTGCCAGAGTAATTGATATCAAAGAAACTCTGTACAAGATCACCTCAAAAGCTCTGCATAATTATACCTCTGACATGACATGTTCTCCACCTATATTAATATGTGCAAATATTTCCATCATTGTGTGCTAAGACAGCAGACTATTCTAATCTTTGGGGTGGTTGCACTTCTGCCATTGGTTCTTACTGTTAAGGGATAAATCCTACGTCCAATAAAGATAAAAATATAAATCAACATATAAGGACATGTACTAGTCCTTTTAAAAAGGTTGACATTTTAAAATGAAACTTCAAGTCTTAACATGGTATCAGGACCCATTAAAGTCAAACAAGCGATTCGATCCAATTGAGACTCAAAAAATGAGCACGCGAGGTTAATCCTCAAGCGATATCAATAATATAGATAAGTAGTATATTTAGTTACAAAAACTAATATGAAATGATCCATATATCACAATACCCGGCATGTTAGAGACAAATCCACCCCTGTTCTCAATGCTTCCCCGCTCAGTGTTGGGTTCATGATCAACGGACATCTGTATAGCTTGCCCCCTTCTGGAAAGGACGGCTCGTGAATCTCCAACATTGGCTACCCACAGATGTCGACTATTTATAAGAATTGCAGTAACAGCAGTGGACCCACCTCGTCCCAGGTCAGGAGTATGCGAGAGAATTGCCTGATCAGTTCTTTCATAGGCTTTTGCAATGGATGTATTTGGATCGGTCCAAAAGTCAGCCTGTATGATTCAACATGCAGTGGGAGCAGATCAATTAGACACCTTTTCTCAGAACTTAAAAACAAATCATTTTTTAACACGCCGCTATCTTAGAAGTTACAGGAGTAATTATATCAATTGTATCAACTCCACTCTTCTTTCATATACAAAATACCCATAGAACATATTGAAGTTTTCTAGAAACTTAATTTCCATGGAGTAACCAACCTCCTTTAAAATATTGGAAAACAGATGCTTCTGTAAGTAAGCCGGCACGCTATCACCCAGATGTCCATCAAAAATAGCAAATAGTCCCAACTCACGACGATTCGTGTATAAAAATTTGGCAACATGGTAATCCTCCATAGGATGATTTGCCTTTCCTTTTATTAAACTGAATCCATATTTGACAGGTCCCTGCTGGCTTCTTCCCTTCCCAGAGCCGCATGAAGAATGTCCTCCTGCGAGCTAAAGGAAACGAAGAACTCGAATTTTAAAATTAACCAGAGATTATATAAGAAACAAAGCTATGGGACAATGACTAGAGGTGCAGACATGAGTTCAAGAAACAAACCAAAACTGATCTCTAATACCATGTTAATTGTTAACCCAATTATAATCCTGCGGGCTTCTGTCCAAAACAGTATTTATACGGGTGGAGTATCTTATTTGATTTTTAAACCACTCCAAATAAGTATTCACAAATATTTCATTCTCAAACCGAGCATCAAATCTCATATATGAACACAAATGATTCTTTCCTCAGTTTCTTTTTGCTAGTCCGTCCACTTATATTCCGTGTAATAACAATCTGAACTCATAAATCATAAACCCGCATCTGTACCGACATAACCCATGTAGCATTATTTAAGGATCCCAAGGACATGGCAAGAAATTTATGCCACAGCCAAAATTCAACCTTACCTCATAATTCAGCAAAAGCCTCAAGAAAAACTTGAACAAATGATGCACAGACTATATACTGATAACCAGAAATTCATGCCAAAGCCTATATAACAAAAATATTTAAGCTGAAGTGGAAAAATCTCCCAATAATACAGCGGTTAACAATAATCTCACCTGAGGAAAACAGCATAAATTATCCATCTAATTTAGAAGCCCCACCTCACTCTCCTCTCCAATTCAACATCTACCTCTTACTTCTTAGAAGTTGAAAATCCACAACCTGTAACGTGGGGTTAAAACAGATAAAAAAAAAAGAACCTTGACCATTAATTAAAAAAAAAACCCGAAATAAGAAATATATTCAAGATTCAATTTTTCTTCAAGAAAATAATCGAAATCATCACATGGAAATCCCAAAGAAAAACCCACTTACCGATCCACCAATCCCCAAATCTAAGGAGAAAAAAAAGAGGGCTATTGATATGATTTGACCATGCTGCTAAGATAATGAGTGTAAATCAAACAAATAAATAAAGACTAAAAAGGAGAAAATAACAAGAAAAAGGAAATAGTAAACAGGGGTGTAAATGTAATAGATTCGGTGGTGCAGTCGGGATTGGGTGCCAAGAGACCAAAGGCATTGGGGTTTGGCCTCCCCTTATTGACTTTGTTGTCTTTACTGTTTCTTCATTGTCTTGTTCTAAAGAAAATGACACATTCAACCCAAAGGTCGTCTCCGTTTGTTTTTTGTCATTGCTCAGCCAATTGTTCATCTTATAATTTCTAAAATATATTTTTCTCTCTTTTTTAATCAAATTTTCAATAAAATAATATTATTAATAAATTCAAAAAAAATTCTTATCTTTTAACCAAACATTCTCCATTAAAATATTATTTAAAAATACATTTTTACAAAAAAACTCAAACATGCTCTAAGGGTATTACAGCTGTTTCATCGCTTTTCTTTTCTTTTTTCAAAGGTCTCAGGTTTCTCACAAGACACAAGAAAAAGAGATTTTTTCTTTTTTCTTTTTTCTTTCCCTCTTTTTTTGTACTTTCTTCTGATTTGGTCATCGCGTGGGGGCCCTATTTTTGGTCAGCCCATATACCTTTAAAAAAAAAAAATTTTGGAATTAGCTTTTAACTGTTTTTACCACCATTACCAGGATTTTATCTCAATACCTTTTCTTTATGAAAATATTGTTCCTTCTTCTTCTATTTTTTTCCTAGGTGTGCATCAAAACAGGGGTTTTCGCACTTAAAAACGAAAAATTAAGGGAACGTGAACAAGAATAAAAATCTTTGACGCTCAAGAAGAAAAGGAAACTGATAGCTTAAATGGGAAGTGGATTATACACTATTAGACAGTATAAAAGAGGAATAAAACATTTCTGATAGAGGAAAAAAAAGTCGGAGAATGATTTGGATCATAGTTATTAGTATTTAGATTAGATCCGATTAGATCCGTAATATCTTTTTTTTTTTTCTTCTTTAGAAGTGTTAGAGATAATGCTGTAAATTAATTAACAAAAGTCCATGTTTCTTGACTTTTTGCAAATGAACAAATGTGTTGGTAGAAAATGTGCGCCAAGGAATACAACTCCTTGTGAGTCCCTTGCCCGTAGGCAGAGGACGTTTAGAGTCAGATAAATTAATCAATTTGACAACCATTATTTAAAACTTTTTATATATATATATTCTTTTTTTTTAATTATATATTCATACAATAAAATATTCAGACGTAAATCCAAAACTTTCTTTACTTTTTAACCACACATTCTCCTAAAATCCATCATTCAAAACTTCGTTTTTTCAAAATAAAGGTTGTCAAACATGGGATAAAGGAGACATGTTTTAAGCACATAAATTAATACAAATATAGAGTAACCACAATAAATTAAACTGTATATTTAATAAATTTAGAGTTAGATAAAAAAATTTATTTTTTTATTGTGATGAATATTTATTTATACTCTAAAATCCAATATAAGTATGTTTTAAAAAGTCAAATAACCAAATATTTGTTAAATGTGAAAGCTATATTAATTTTGATTCTTTCTCTCTTAACGTATTTTAAGCGTGAGTGGTGACTCGTACATAAATATTTGGGAACTCATTAGCCTATGTGTGGGGCTCGTGTTTGTAAACTATTTATAAATTCTTAAGTTACTATTATTCATACATTTCAAAAGATCTACAAGAATTGTTCAAAAATGTGTACTCATTTTTATCTATTTAAACAGTTTATAATCCGAGCCTTAAAAGTCTGCCCAGATTCTTTCTCCAAATTCAATCAAAATTAAGCATCATTTATCTAGAGGTGACGAAATGGTCAAGTAGCTCGTCGGCTTGGCTCATTGAATCTCAACCCATGAACGGCTTGGACTCATTTTCCGACAAGCCGAGCAAGGCTCTTCAAGCTCACTAGCAGCTCGTGGGCCTTTGCGAGCCTAAAGTTCATGAGCTCATGGTCTTGTAAAAAATTGTGAACAAAAAAGTTTAAAAAAAAAAATACTCGAGCTCGTCTTGAGCACGAGCCAAGCTCTTGGCCCGTGCTCAAACGAGCTTGACTCGGCCCATTGCTGCCGCTACATTTATATAAAAGGCTCCAACTATTCAATTCTAATTCTTGGAGAACTTTAGCTAAGTTAAATTTAAATCAAGAATTCAGATTCTTTGACTATATTAAAAAGATATGTCTTGAAAACAATAGTTAAGAAATTCAATAGCTGCTTTTCATATAAGATTCAATGATTTAAGAGAACCAAAATAAGCAATTTCTTTATTTTGCTGTTTCTTATTTGCATGTTCATATGTTTTGATGGCGGATTAGCCTACCGTAATCACAACCATGGTCATTCATCGGAACAACCACTGCAATCACAACAAAGGCTATAACAACCGCTGCCACCCACCTCCACGAGTTCATTACAATCCACCACATAAGTGAACAGTCGATCCAAGTGATTATTCAGGCAGTTGCACAAGACACCTAATATCTTCTTTCTTCTCAAAAAATATTGCAGTACATCTGTACATGCATGTTGTTGTCACATTGTATCAAATCTCTTGGAGAATTGCTTCGAGAAAAAGTTTTTTAAAACTTTCAATTTTTATCCCAGGATCATATCTTTCTGTGTTCACCATCTACGAGGAGCTAATTAGTCAAAAAACTTTGATTTCGTACTTTTAGGAGCAAAGATTGAATTATTGCCTTGCACTGTTGCTTCATAAACAAAAGCAAGTAGTTTGATAGATTTGCATAGAATTTTGATGACGAAGAGAAGAAAAATATCAGTTTTGTTGTTTGCTATTTGAATGTTTGTATCATTCAATGACAGATTGATTTGCCCACCTTCATCACAACCACCACCATCATGGTCACCATCATGGTCACAACCATTCATTATACTTCCTTCCGCTGCAGCCACAACCATCATTAGCACCACATCAGCCACCACCATAATCTCCGCCTCCATTAGTCCATTACAACACACCAGATAATAAACATGGATGGTTGCATAGGAGACCTCAGATCTTCTTTCTTCTCAGAAAATATTACCTTGGATGTAGAATGTTGTCAGGGCTTTCAAAGAATTATTTCAAGGAAGCCTTCATCAAAGCCCCATTTTGTATCGCAGGGTCGTTTCTTTCTGTTCTCACCAACCATAATCACTTGCAGCTTAAGAGATTANTGAAGGAATAACAGATTTTATCCTCCTACAGCATGTAAATCAAAAGGAAGAAGAAGACCACCTTGTAGAAGAATTCAAGCTTTTATTTCTTAAAGTCGCATTTGCCTATTACGTTTTCTATTTTCTGTTTTTCCGTTTTTGTTATGATGAGCTGTCGGCCAGCTATTGGTCTATTGCCTTCTCTTGTATCTATATATATCACAACAGCATTCCATCTCTGTAGATTTTCGATTATTGAATAAATCTCATTTTCACTCAACATTGTTTTAGTTACTTTTGCTCA